AACGGCATAAAGCGCCGACTTGTGGGTTTCAAACTGATGACCAGCGACAGCAAGCTGGTGCATCGTCCACTTGACTCCTTGTTCATCGATGAGCTTGCGGATCAGATACGGATGGAGAACACGGATAAATTGGGTGATGCGGTTGCTGAACGTTGCGACCTTCTCGTCAAAACTGGCAGCAAGGATATCCCAAGTGCCAGCATGCTTGAGCGTCACGAGGGTCATGAAGAGCATGTCGTTCCCAGTCACCGGACATTTGCGGCCACCACCAACATTCCAGTTCTTGGACACGTATGCCTTGATGTTGGACCAGAGAGTATTGAGCTCGGACACCGTAAAATTGGTCAGGGCGTGGACGACCTCAACCCCTTTGACGGCAATGTACTGGTCTATAACGGGCGAGGCAGAGTCTAGGTCCTCAGCAGTAGCATCACTGGACTCAATTGAAAAACGCTGACGCTTGGTGTGACGGCGTTCGTCAATTACCGCAAGTGCATCGACTGCTATGGCAATTTTGCTGGCGGAGAGGAGTCTCTTAGCTGGTGTTGTGGTGCTTTGGCTGGCCATGAACGTCGAGTGGTGGATGACCTTGGATGATGTATTGAATTTTCAGCAGTGATCGACCAAATCGCCAATCTACTGAGCATTCTTGAAAAGACGACCTGTACAACACGATGCATAATCTCTGGTCATCTCATGAATCACCCAAAGTGGATGATATACTCGTTGACGTGCCCTGTCAATTTGCGAAAAGTTTATAAAATAATAGGGGTGTCATATTGCACAAGTGTGTACCCAATCACTGTATTAATATCATTTCATTCGCCAGGAGGTCTACTGTATCCTATGCCAGTCCTTGCTTGCAATACAAGGACTGATCACTTCAATTGGTTGAGGATCGGTCCATCTCCGTCCTGGTCTAGAATGAAAATTGCATATTTTCCATCTTATGTTGGCCAATCAGTGGCCTCATGTCAGAATTTGATGCTTATCATCGTCCATGAATTTCTCGCTCGCTGACCATGGGTCAACTCGATGTATACAAATTTCAAAATACTCGCGAGTACAACTCTTGCGAGTTTTTTCCCGGTTCACTGTACCCTCCCGACTGTCTCAATCCATGACACGACTGATGTGCATGAGCATACTCCTGCTTACTCCCTCCGTCCCACAATAATAGCGCGACTCAGAATCTTGCCGTATGCCTCCTTGAATAAATTACGCTATCCTGCAATAACTATCTATTTTGGTATAAGGTAGTGGAGTTGTAACATGACAAAACTTGTATCACAATTAGCAAATACATGGATGACAGAATCTTGCAATTCTGACAGCACCATCGGATTCAGGAGGGGGGGTTACACCGAGAACCCTCCCACCGACGACAACAAGCAAACGCACAACCAACATAACAATACGTACGAACGTGTATATATTCGTTTACTCTTCCATGCATATTGGTTCCATGCCAATGTCGTGTAAGGCCCCAGTAATGTCGTCAACGCCATCTTCACCAATGAGGGCGATACTTTCAAGTTGAGATGACAATTCACATTGGACCAATGCATCTTCGGCTTCATTTTCCAATTCTCGGTCCATAGCGACAACATCAACAGCACTCAGCAACGCGCGGGTCGAATTATACACATCACGTGGGCACTCGACGTTCCGAGGTAAGCTCCCTTGTCTGGCCAACTTGACTTTTGACATGTGTGG